TTATACATATATTGCACATTCCATTCTTACTACAAGGGAGAACTGCATAAAGATACCTGCAGTGTCTATAACTATTAATTAGTGCTGGGCAACGATTACGCTCTCTTTTTTTAAATTAAATTAATTGTGATCAATCGCATGATGTTCTGCGATTAATCGCAATTAATTTGGCTGCGCTGAGAACAGGGCAGAAGCAACAACATTACTGTCGGGGGTTGCACAGAGATAACGGTGTTAAGCAGTATAACGCATAACATGATAATACCTCTTGTCTCAGAACCAGGGCGTTTCGGGGCAATGTTAGAGACTGCACCACGCCATTGAAATGGGGTGGTCTGCGTCTGAATTGAAAGGTATACCCACGCTCTATCACACAGAGTAGCCAGCACGAGATTCCCAGAATAACTTCCCACACGCTCAGGTACTGACATAGCGGCTTTAGCGGCTTGGTCGTTGGATGCGCCGGAGAGTGTGTGTGCGGCGGCTCTGCACTGCTCTGAGGCGGGGCGAGCGGCACCGCATTGACTGAGTGAGGAGGAAATAGCTCTTTTTGTGAGAATGTATGCATTTTTATTGAATGAACATCCAACACACAAACATTTGAAAACATGAACTTGTGGCGCTTGGGAGCCGGGCCTCTCGCGCACTCTCCTCTTCTCTTCAGACCGTCAGGACGACGGCTTAGCAGCCGGCGGCAGGTGAGAGTCACGTCGCGGGCTCCTCCGCTGGCCGTGGCGTTTCCTCCCGGGACCCCAGGCCTTCCTCCGGACATCCAGCTCCTGGCGAGGAGCAGTAGCCGTCATCGCCGCGGTCGCTGGCCTGGGGCTGCTGCTGGAAAGCGTGCCTCGGCATCACGTGACTCATGGCTTTGGCGCGCTTTTGAGCCTCCGCGAAGCGCTCAGTAATGGACTCCACGGCGTCACCAAAAAGACCGGAGGGAGTCACAGGAGCGTTCAGCAGCACTTTACGGTCAGCATCCTTGAGGTCAGTTAGGTTTATCCAAAGGTGCCTCTGAAGGACGACCATAAAACCCATGGCCTTACCCACAGCCTGGGCCGCTCGCTTTGTCGCCATCAGCGCGAAGTCCGTCGCCGCACGCAGATCCTTAATGGTCTCTGCCGTGAGGGCTCCGCCCTCCGCTGCCTGCAGAAGCTTCGCCTCGTCGCCGCACGCAGATCCTTAATGGTCTCTGCCGTGAGGGCTCCGCCCTCCGCTGCCTGCAGGAGCTTCGCCTGAAAAACCTGCAGCACTGCCATGGCGTGCAGCGCGGAAGCCGCCTCGCCATCAGACGCATACGCTTTATTGGCAAGGTGGGCGGTAGTCCTGCACGGCTTTGAAGGGAGGCTGATGTCTGAGCGTAGGGTCTTGGCTGCTGCAGGACACAGGTGCGCAGCGACGCTCTCCTCGACTGGGGGAGAGCGCACGTACCCGTGAGCCTCCGCCCCATCCACGTGGGAAAAAATGGCCTGTGTGGCAGAGTGGACGCACGCTGATTGGGGCGCAGACCATGTTTTTACCAGCTGCTCATGTACGTCGGGGAAAAAGGGGACCGACGTCCTCGAGTCAGCTTTCCGGGTGGACCTGAAATACCAGGAGTCAAGCTTACTCCTGGCAGGCTCCTCTGGAGGACTCCAGGTAAGCTCCAACTCCTGGACAGCCCTTGACAGAACCCTCATGAGCTCCTCCTGGAGGTCTGGGGGCCCCATGCTGTCCGGCTGATCGGACTCCGATCCCGCCCAATCCCCTCCCTCTCCGAGGCCGAGATGGACATCGAGTCATTCCCCTCCTCCTGGCTAAAGGACACAAACTCCGCGATGTTGGAAGGAAGGCGGAAGCAGTCCTTGGGGAGTGAGACCGGGGACCGGAGCGACCGTTGGGGTTGGTGGAGCAACAAGACGACGCTCCCGTCACCGGGAGGGCCCACCAGCGGCACGCTGGCGGCAGTGGGCCTCATCCCGAATAGGCCGCGAGCCACATCGCGGCGGGTCCGGAGCACGCGGGCCGGAAGGTCCGCGCAATGCCCGCAGTTGGACTTGTCCAGCGCCGCCTCGGCATGGGTCAGGCCCAGGCAGGCGTCGCAGTAGTCGTGCTGATCCGGCGGCTCTATTGGTCCCGCGCAGATTTTGCAGATTGTTGCCATAGTGAATTCAACAGGTGAAGTAGAAGATTCTGACGTAATTGTCGCGTGCACCGCATTTTATACTGCCTCTCGAGCTCGTCAGTATTTGCATGCGATTTGCATACTTCGAGTCAATTGGCCAGTCATTTGGACTGGCGGGAGCCAATAGGACTTCAGGAAAGGTTGGAAGGGAAGGAGTTCCCATAATGGAGAAATATCTCCGTGATGTCTCGTGAAAGCTCAAGAGGGAACTGCTTTGTTTATCCGCCATACTGAGAGGATTGCGCTGCCTCTCCGCTATTGAGTTCAGGGCAGTATTTTCATTTTCTGTCGTGATTGTGGAAAATGTCACCATTGTATGTCATTCTTGCTGCATCGAGAATTGCAAAAGTAACTCCGATCATCGTTCTGAGAGAAAACTGGACAATGCAGTGTATTTTTTTGCCTTTTCTCTGTCTAAAAACCCCAAGGGAAGCAGGTCGCGGAGATGACAAGCAGACGCCGGATAGTAAATCTATTAAAAATGTCACCGATTAAACCCACTGCCTGTCACTTAATAAAAGTATCATGTTGCTGCGTTTTTTTTTTTTTTTAAGTTTTGATTTTGTTTGGTTTAATAATTAACATCACCTTCGTGAGTATGACTCACTCAGCTTGTGAATTAGCAGAACTTGAACAGGGACATTAAAACACTTAACACAAATAAGGCTTCATGTGGCTTAATGTACCAAGACCGTGATAAAGACAAAATTGTAAAGCATATGCTACGTGCAGATACCTACATAAGCCCAAAATGTGAACGCAACGTGTTTATTTACACGTTAAGCGTTTTCCATTCATATAAAGAATGCCTAATGTACCAAGACATTAAAAGACCACATTCTGTACACACCTTACTAATAAAGCATAATATCTGCAGAAAAACTGAACCCAAAATATGAACTTTAAATACTGTCTTAATGCATAAGCTTTTTCTTCATTACGATTTTCTAAAGGGAGGATAACGCTTAACGTGTAACGATAAAACAAGTTGCGTTAATATTCTGGCTTCATCTGCATGTCATTTAGCATCACTGTCTTAATACATTAAACCAGCATTTTAAAATGCTACAAAACTGTTCACAAGCTTCCAGGGATTTCATTTTAGTTGTCATTTGTTGAAATAAATATAAAATAAAGTGTGCTTGTGTCTGCTGAATGTGGCCCACAATCTAGGATTCTCCTCCGTGGCCATGGAAATATTAATATACAATGACAACAATTATACTTGTCATTAAAACGTTTACAACAAAGAAATGGATCGACTTCTGTCAGCTTGTTGAACAAACACTTTATTTGGATAATCTACCATATGATGGCTGAAGCAGAAGCGTGCGTCCAGCGGGCGACACTGTTTTCACTGTAATCAGATCAAAATTATAAATGAAATTCTACAAAACTTAAGAGAAAAAAAATCTAATTATGTGAAGCGATAAAATAGCTTCTCTTCCCTGCAAACGATACAATGAAGAATGCGAATATTTAACTTAAAGGCAACAACAAAACAAAAGATAAGCAGGTATCCGTATTAATTTCAGCATTTGTAGCAGAGGGTGATCCTCTCAGAATGCCGGCGGCGCCCCAGCATGCAACGCGGCGTGACTTAGCTTCACATTCTCTATTCAGGACAAAGAGCACTCGTGTGATATTGCTCTAGCTACTCGTGTGATATCGCTTATCATGTGATATAAATATGAGACACTCATACAGGAGCATGTCTGCCCCAAATATCTTGAATTTTAGGGCATAATTGCATTTATGAAGTTGTTGCCTTGCATCATATTTGTCAACAGTCAACTGTATGAAATGTCAGATGACGTACAGGTCTGGGGCGGGGCCAGTGCGTTAGCTGCGTTAAAATATTTTAATCGCGTTATTTTTTCATAACTAATTAAGTTAACACGTTAAACTGACAGCCCTAATGTGTGTGTGTGTGTATATGCATATATGTATGTGTATGCGTGTGTAGTTAGGTCCATATATATTTGAAATTGAAGTGCAGATTTTAAGCTTCAATTCAAGGGATTGAACAAAAATATAACATAAAATGCTTGGGAATTACAACCATTTTTATACACAGTCCCCCCATTTTCAGGGGCTCAAATGTAATTGGACAAATAAATATAATCATAAATAAAATGTTCTGAAATGTTCTAATTAAAATGTTGTGCCTCGTTATCCCCTCGTTCAGTTGTGTATTTAAAGAGTGTTCTGTTCCTGGTTTCCTTGTTCAGTGTCTTACGTCATTCCATGTCTCCTACGTTCCCGATGTTCCCTGCCCTTTTGTTTATTAAAGTCTGTTTGTTCGAGTTACTCCTGCGTCTCCTCGTCTCCTCGCTACATTCCCACTAACAAAAATATAGTGCGTGACACATGTAAATGACATGAAAGGCCTCTGCAACAAAAGAAGTCAGGACCACTGTTGTCATAAATAACTGACAATTGGGCTACTTTTTGGGTTTGTGGTATGGTTCTGTTCTGGGCAAGAACTCCTTGCCCATATGCAGCCTTTCAATGATAAGGCGCAGCACAATATTCACTCATAATTATTATTCTCTGCTACACTAAAACAGTAAAGAAAACATTTGTCAAAAGGCTCCTCAGAAATTGATAGCTGTTGTCCACCAAATCCAACATCTCATTCAAATCTGGCTCCATTCTGGTATGAAATGTCCACTTCAGTCAGTTTTAGGTTGATACAATTTTTCTTTGAATCTTTTTTACAAAAAAAATATGTTTCCGAACAGAAGTAATGTAGGTTACAAATGCTGTTTTATGATGATATTCATATGTGATTTTTTTTTTCTTCTGTCTGTTCTCTCTTGCTGTCTCTATTCTGTAGTCAATGATTAGCAATAATAAGGATATATCGGTGCTGCAGTGTCATGGCGAAGCAGATCCTCTGGTTCCTCTTATTTTTGGCCGTCTCACTGTAGAGAAACTCAAAGTCATGCTGAATCCCTCCAATATCACTTTTAAAACATACTCTAGAATGCCTCACTGTGCATGTCCTGAGGTTTGCATAAATCAAGTTTATTATTTACTCTTGTTTTTTTATTATTCAGAATACAGTAGCTCTGTTCCAAAATCTAATGAGTTGCCTTGCTGTCTACTGCTTAGTGTCTACATAGGAAGTTATCTATCTTCTAAGGCTTTATCCAAACCATTATTGAACCTCATAAGTGACTGTTAAGCTAGCAACATGGTAACTCAGTGGTAGGTCTCCGGTTCAAGTCCAGGCTGCCCCTTTCTGACCAGTAGGCATTTCTTTTCTTCCTTGTGTTGGAGTGATTTCCACCAGGACTCTGTTTCCCCCACAGTCAAAAACAGCAGCTTAGATGAATTGGAGATTCTAAATTGCCCATAAGTGTAAGCAATAGCGTGAATGTGTTTGTTAGCCCTGTCCTAAAGATACACTGGGATAGGCTTCAGCACTGTGTGTGACACTTCATTGGATTTCTTCTTGCTTCAACCAACTACTTTAATTTTTTTTATTAAATGGATGACAGCCTAAAAATGCTTCCTATGTAGGTTACTCACTATGTTTTTGAACAGGGCATTTGAATGCATTAATTGGATTTATTTAGAACATACTGAAACATTTTAAACTGATTTCCTCCTCCTTTTCTTTCAACAGGAAATGATGGACATCAAGCAGTTTATTAAGAAGCAGCTCCCCAAAATCAATTAATCAACCATTTATACTGTAATTGTCCATTTAACAAAAAAAGTACACAAAAGATGTTCTTACCTTCTTAGAGTACTTATTATTAAGATACTATATTAAAAATATACTAAAGTGCATGTAGTGTTTTTAGACACTTAATTGCATGTTGTTTATAATTAAATGAAAATGTATTGCTTTCCAAATACTCTGCACCAGGTGTGTCAAACTCCTGGAGGGCCGCAGCCCTGCAGAGTTTAGATTCAACCCTAATTAAATGGCCCTCCAGGAACTGATTTTGACACCCCTGCTCTACTTTGTAGCATCTGATGAGCCCAAAAGTTTTGTTATGTGACCTGGGGCCATAAACTCCCTGACCCTTAAGGATGAACCCTGTAACATCACAGGAATGGCCCAAAGAGAGAATCCTGAAGGCTCCGATCAGGTCTGGGAGGGAATGGCCTCCCACAGACTTTTTTTCCCTTCACTTTTTACTTTGATGTTGATGTTATGCCCTGTTTACACCTGGTGTTAAAATGTGTTTTCATCAATCTGATCATAATTGGATAATGCTACATAAAGATGGGCTCTAAAATGCTTTATGCTTGTCCACTTTCGACCCCTTCCAGAGGTAATGGAAAACTCATTCGACCAGATTGCATTCATAATGTGGATGCTCATGTGATCGAATGCATTCCAGCAGCCACTAAAGTCCACCTACTCTCCACTGACTGAGCTAATTCTTAATCTTTACGATGTTCATTTCCTATCTGTTAATCGACAAACTTAGAATGTTAAATTAGGTTTAAATCCACTAGTTTAAGGAAACCAAGACAGCAAAGCGCATATTGTTTTGCTTTATTTTACAAAGGCATGGTTTTGTTTTTATTGTGAGTATATTTAAATAAAAGGAGAACCGTTGCAGTTTTAAATGATGTCTTACTCCTATCTTTATGACCAGAAATAACAGAATATTTTAGTCCAACCCCAAGGCAAGCGTCCGTGGTGCTGTAGTTCGTTTATAGCCTAAGTTTAGCTTTTAAGTTCTGGCGCTTTTATTTAGGCTTCAAAATTCATAAAAGTTCTATTATTTTGTGAAGATTATCTTGATGGACAAAACTTGTAAGTTTCATGAACTATGGTTGCACACAGAGCATATTTTTTGCAATAATCCAAAAGCCTATTGAAAAGTCCGGTAGGCCTAACGCTTTAGATTACAACCCGCAAAGAACTACGTAAGTTTACTGAATTTAAGGTGTACGCAGGGGCTCGGTAAGATGTTTTCGTTTGGGGGTGCTGTGTGTGTCTGTGTTGGGTGAAAGGGCCCCCCAAGTCCAAGGGGGGTTTGGCGGGGCTGGTTCAATTACGTTGGTGCTCGTGCTGGGGCTGGTGTTGTTTGGATGCCGATTTTGGAAAGTTTTTGCTGGGATGGGCATTTAAAAAAAATCTGAAATTCGCTTTTGCGCCATTATCTCCTTGTATTAAAGTTAATCTTGTTCGCATTCTGTACAGTTCATGTCTGATACCACGCGCTAGCGTCACAGTGTTCATGAGGATTAAGGCTGATTTATACTTCTGCGTCGGACCTACGCCGTAGCGCCATTATCTCCTTGTATTAAAGTTAATCTTGTTCGCATTCTGTACAGTTCATGTCTGATACCACGCGCCAGCGTCACGTGTTCATGAGGATTGGGCTAATCATCCCATATAGAAAACATCACAAGTAAAATTAATCATGTTTATAAAGATAAACATGGGTTTATTATAGCCCACTTACAATTTACATTTCAGAGATCATTACAAATAAATTATTAAATGCTAAAACTGAATACATTTAAATGAACAAACTTGGCGTTGCATTTGCAACCATGTGAAAACGGGGTGCTGCAGCCCCCTCAGCACCCCTACTTCCCGCGTCCCTGGGTGGGTGTACGTTTCTGTAATTATAGTGTACCTATAAACGGGCGCAGATAAGTGGTCCGCAGGTCCGCATGCGCGACCAAAATAAGAAATGCGCTGTGTGAGTTCAGAGCGCGCGTTTGCGTACTGACATGGTTGACAGCTGTTAATGCTCAATTACCATTTTAGATCGACTGTACTGTATAAGATTTCTATTCACACTGAAAGCATAAATCTAGGCTACCCGCTAACATTTTCAAAGCACAATGCAAAACTGACATTTCATTCACTGACGCTCTACAATCGGCAGCGTTAAACCCGGAACCCGGAAGCGCATGTACTTACTTGCCGGCAACCCGCCAAAATAAAAGCTTGCTGATTTTAAGTTTGAAAATGAAAAATTAAAATAATTCAAATTAAAAATAACAATTAAGGTTCAAATTAAAATAATAATGATAAAAATATTAGCATTTTATTTTAAGATTACTATAAAATAATTGTATTTGTATTTAATACTCCCTTTTTATTTTAAAATAAAATAGTATATTCACACTATTATTTAGTTTATTATTTTATTTAAAATAAATAAATAAAGTGCAATAATATTATCACTATTATTAATTTATTTTTTATAGTTATATTTGATGGGTCACAACCAAGTCTCCAGGTTCTCATATGAGAACCAGGCTGAAAAACTTATGTGCACCCCTGATTATAGTACAGTATAGTCAAAAGTTTGGACACACTTCCCATTCGTGTGTCCAAACGTTTGACTGGTACTGTATATAGAATACAGTATATAGTATATATACATAAACACATTTTTGCAATGATAACTCAAATGTGGTGATCAAACACTTATAATGATGTGACAAACATAGGCCTATGTAGTGGAGGCAGGGTATTTAACA